CAATAAATTCAATAAAAAGGTAGGGGGGAATGTAATGGGGAAGGCAGTCATACAAACAATAATTACAGCTCTAAGTTAAGTGTTAGAGTAGAGATATGGACTAAGTAGGGAAATAAAAAAAAGCATTTCCTTCACCTGGGAGGTATCAGAAAAAACATCCTGCAGGAAGTGACATTTGAGGGAAATCTTGACATTTGAGTTTAAGTTTTCTAGGCTGAGAAGGCATGGTAAGAAAGAGACAGGCCAAGTTCAAAAGATGATGGCTAGAGGGGTCTAAAGGCAGGAGTTTACTGACCCTTACAGTCAAGATAAAAACTGGAATGCAATGAAGTGTTCCACAAATCAAAATACAGCAAGTCTGTCAATTTTTCTCCTAGATCAATGTTTCTCAAAATTTCTTCTTAAGGCAGAGGATCATGATAAGGATGGGGTTAGGGATGAATTGTAACCTAAAGTAACTTTCAGAGAACACGGTATATCTGAAGTGTCATAAATTGTACTAGAGGCCCAGTGCACTATTTTTTTAAATATATTTTATTGATTTTTTACAGAGAAGAAGGGAGAGGGACAGCGAGCTAGAAACATCGATGAGAGAGAAACATTGATCAGCTGCTTCCAGCACACTCCCCACTGGGATGTGCCCGCAACCAAGGTACATACCCTCGACCGGCATCGAACCTGGGTCCCTTGAGTCCACAGGCTGACGCTCTATCCACTGAGCCAAAACGGTCAGGGCCCAGTGCACTATTAAATCGTGAGTGTGTAGGGTCCCCTAGGCCTAGCCTGCCATCAGGGCCATGTCCACCACTTTGTGACACCTCTCACACTCTGCAGATGCTGCCGGTGTCTTGGGATGCTCCAGGGACACTGACTGCGCCCATGATGCTCCAACACCCCAGGGGAGTGGGGGGTGGAGGTGGGGGTTGGGGGAGGGTGGAACCCCAGACTCCACCGCCACAGGCCTCTCGAGCTCATTTGTGCCTGGCTGGTCCTCATTCCTCTCTCCCCAGTGTTGAGTGTCTGACCATTGGCTGCCCCAAACCGGTTGGGTCTTTCCCTTAGTAACAGCTTTTACCTTCTGCCTCAATTCCATTCCCAGCTCAGCCCTTCCCTGTGTGATGCCTACCCCGCCCCCCACCAGCTGCATGCACCCCTGCCCCTCCCCCGGCAGCAGGAGCACCTCCGCTCACCACCTGGGCTGGGCTTCCCGCCCACACCCACAAAGCACCCATCCTCCATGCCCTCTTCACCATGAGGCCCTGCCCATCTTGCTGTGATCTGAGCCTGTGGGCCACGGGACCAAGAGGTGCTCCATGCACCACCTGGTGACTCGTCTTTGGTCATTACGGCATCACGGCATTATGGTCACAGGCCTTTTATTATATATGTGGACTAGAGGTCCACAGCACGAAGATTTGTGCAAGAATGGGCCTTCCTTCCCCTGGCTGCCAGCACCGCCCTTGCTCTGGCCCGGAGCCGCCTTTCCTCCTTCCCACACTGCCCAGAGGCCTGGAGCAGCTGGGGCTGTGCGGAACACCTGCATCGTCACCATGCATCCCACCCCACCCTGGGCATTCTGCACCTGTGTATGCAAATTAACCCACCATCTTTTTTGGTTGATTTGCATACTCACTCCTGATTGGCTGGTGGGCATCGTGATGGTACGGTCAATTTGCATCTTTCTCTTTTAGTAATGTAGACTAGTGGCCCAGTTCACAAAAATTTCTGCACTCAGGGTGGGGGGTTTCCTCAGCCCGGCCTGTGCCCTCTCGCAGTCTGGGAGCCCTCAGGAGCGGGCCTAAGCCGTCAGTAGGACATCCTTACTGCCACTGTGCTCGCCAGC